TCTAGGAAGGTGAACATCCAAACTGGCTAGGCTCCCACAAAGCCAGCACATTAAGTAGGATCAAAACCCCCTGCCATTGTCCTTGGTGTCTCATCAGCCCTCATTGTTCGCCATGTTCAGAGAGTCCGGTTTTATCCCATGCTTTTTCGGTCACAGTCCAGCTGGCCTTGGTGAGCTCCCCGTAGATCAGCTCCTCTGTCTCAGTGGGTGGGTGCACGCCTCGTGGTCCCGAATTCTTTGCTCATGTTCTCCCTCCTTCTGCTCCTCCTTGGGACCTTGGGAGCTCAGTCCAGTGCTCCTGTGTGGGTCACTGTCTCGATCTCTATGCATCACCAGATGAAGATTCTATGATGATATGCAAGATATTCGTCAGTATTGCTCTAGGATAGGGTCATTTCAGGTTCCCAATCCTCAGCTGCCCAAGGAACTAACTGGGAACCTCATCTTGGGCACTAGGGAGCCCCTCTAGGGTCAAGTCGCTTGCCCACCCTAAAGTGGCTCCCTTTACTAAGAATTGTGGTTCCGTGCTCTCCTATCCACCTTTCCTTTATCCCAATTCTCCCGTTTCCCAGGTCCCCCCTCTTTCCCTTCTACCTTTTCTCTCCCCATCTCCCCTTACCCCCATCCCACCTCCCCCCCCCAAGATCCCATTTTCTCCCCGGGAATTTGGTCTACTTCCCTTAGCGAAGAGGACAACTATATGTTTTTCCTTCGGTTCACCTTCTTCCTTAGCTTCTTTAGGTTCACCTATTGTAGACTCCGTGGTCCTTATTTATGGCTAGAAACCAATTATGAGTGAGTACATCCCATATTCATCTTTTTGGGTCTGGGTTACCTCACTCAGGATAGTGTTTTCTATTTCCATCCATTTGCATGCAAAATTCGAGAAGTCATTGTTTTTTACCGCAGCGTAGTACTCTAGCGTGTATATATTCCATACTTTTTCATCCATTCTTCCATTGAAGGGCATCTAGGTTGTTTCCAGGTTCTGGCTATTACAAATAATACTGCTATGAACATAGTTGAACAAATGCTTTTGTCATTTGATAGAGCATCTCTTGGGTATATTCCCAAGAGTGGTATTGCTGGGTCCAGGGGTAAGTTGATCCCGAATTTCCTGAGAAACCGAAACACTGACTTCCACAGTGGTTGCACAAGATTGCATTCCCACCAGCAATGGATGAGGGTACCCGTTCTTCCACAGCCTCTCCAGCAAAGGTTATCCTTGGTGTTTTTGAGTTTAGCCATTCTGACAGGTGTAAGATGATATCTCAAAGTTGTTTTGATTTGCATTTCCCTGATTGCTAAGGAAGTTGAGCACGACCTTAAGTGTCTTTTGGCCATTTGAACTTCTTCTGTTGAGAGTTCTCTGTTCAGTTCAGTGCCCCATTTTTTAATTGGTTAATTAGCATTTTAAAGTCTAGTTTCTTGAGTTCTCTATATATTTTGGAGATCAGACCTTTGTCTGTTGCGGGGTTGGTGAAGATCTTCTCCCAGTCAGGATAGCCAAAACAATCCTATACAATAAAGGATCTTCTGGAGGCATTACCATCCCTGACTTCAAACTCTATTACAGAGCTACAGTAATGAAAACAGTGTGGTACTGGCATAAAAACAGAGAAGTCGACCAATGGAATCGTATAGAAGACCCGGATTTTATCCCACAAACCTATGAACACCTCATTTTCGATAAAGGAGCTAAAAGTATGCAATGGAAGAAAGAAAGCATCTTCAAAAAATGGTGCTGGCACATCTGGATGTCAACCTGTAGAAGAATGAAAATAGACCCATATCTCTCACCATGCACAAAACTCAAGTCCAAATGGATTAAAGACCTCAATATCAGTCCGAACACACTGAACCTGATAGAAGAGAAAGTGGGAAATACCCTACAACAGATGGGCACAGGAGATCGCTTCCTATGTATAACCCCAGAAGCACAGGCATTAAGGGCAACATTGAATAAATGGGACCTACTTAAACTGAGAAGCTTCTGTAAAGCAAAGGACACTGTCACTAAGACACAAAGGCAACCTACTAATGGTTTCAAATCTTATATTATGGTCATTGACTCATATAAATTAATTTTTGCAGAGTATCAGATATAGTGTATGTTTGTGAGTTTTGTACCATATAAAAAGTACTGTGTGTGAGTTTCCTGTGATGTTTTCTTTCTTTTCATTTGTTGGGATTTTTGTTTGTTTTCTAAAGAGAGAAGAAGAACCTGGAGTTGTTTAGGTGGGGGAATGAGGAAGATCTAGAAGAACTTGGAGAAGGGACAGAGCATGACAAGAACACATTGTATGAAAAAATTTTCAATTATAAGGAAATAGAAATATAATTTCATTTTAATTGTGACTATCCAATTTTCCTAGCACCTTTAGTTGAAATATGTGATCCTTTCTCAACTATGTGGATTTGTTAGCTTTGTTAAAAGTCTTGTGACCATTGCAACATTTTTCTGAAAGTAGATATTGTGATGATTTCGGTATTGTGGCTTTTATGTGAAATTGCTTTAACTGTCCACTGTTATATGAACTACTTTATGAGTTAAAGAGCAATTTTTTCAATTGCTAGACCAACCTCACTTCTAATTGCTATAACAATTCCATGTTCCAAAAGATGATTTTTAGAATTATGTTCTTTAATATAATCCATCTTCCTAAAACTGGGTCTATATAAGCTAAAAGAAATACTAAATCTTTATAGGACTGAGGGAACTCTTACCAAAAATGACAAGTCTAGTAACTGACTGCCTCGAGTGATATTCTTTTTGACTAAAATACACCAAAAGGCAGTTTATACACAGGGCATTTGTTCTAGCCTTCACTTCTGTGTATTTACCATCAGAATCAGCTCATTAGCATAAATGGAGACTTGAAGACTTGCTTGCTTATGTGTTAATGAGGACTAGAGATTTTAGAGGGGATTTCTAGCCTAAGTCAAGGTTAACAAGCCTTGTTGCCAAGTCTAGTTGGGAATACGAACTGCCACTGTGCCATCACCTCACATCTGCTAGATGCTGACAATAACCCATTCTGGGGCTAAGCATCCTGACGAACAGTACTTTCTTGTGATTTATTTTTGGCATATCTTCAAGTATTCATGAACACTGCCAGAAAAATATCATTTGTTCCTACAGGAATTCTTAGAATAGAAATTAATTATTTCCTTAGTTATGGTTCTTGTATATAGATAAAAAGTAATGGAAAAAGAAATTTTGCAGGAGAATACACCCTTATTACTTGAAGAGCGTTGCAAATCACTGGCTTTAAATTTGCAGTGTTTTGTTCAAATCATCAGACAATAAAATCTTGGAAGAATTACATTAATGAGAGACAAAGGAACAAGTTACTATTCATGAGTGTGCACTATAGATAAAATTATACTTACTATTATAAGCAAACTGATTATATCATTGTTCTTCATTTAACCTTGTATAACAAAAGAGATTCAGGTCCTACTTTGCTAATTTGTAACTAATATGAACTTCAAATCTGGCTCTTCTTTCTTAGATTAGTGTTTTTGTTGATTAGAAGTTTCCTAGAAAATTTCTCACATGTACATAATGCAGGCTCACCACTCTTATCCCCAAACAATCTCCTATTTCCCACACTTCCCAATTACTCTCTAAATCCCTATGTTTTTACTCACATACAAAAGCTACACTCACTCATAATCAGAGAATTCTGGTACCTAAAAAGAACAGGGGGAAACTTCAACCCCCTGAATTAGCCGAATCAGTTGATTTTTTAGGTCAGGAATGTCAAAAACTCTTAATATTATGAAAAGGCAATATAATTTAGATATCTGTTTTCTTTATTTAAAAGGCTGTAAATGAGTGCTATTTAGAAAGTAATAATTCACGGGAGAACTGAAGCTGACGGGGAATTCAATCATATAGCCTAAAGATTCTTAAAAGTTGGCTTAGATTCTTTTCCCCAACAAAAATCTTTTGTAATTCTGTAATTATATGTAGATTTGACTCACTTTTTGGAATTGTACCATAGAAATCTTTCTCTTTTTAGTTTAGCTCAATATTTTATTATTTTCTATGTGTACATATCTGTGTATGAACATCAGCACATGCATTTGAGTGCCCACAGGTGCCAAGAGGGAATCAGGGGTGTCAGAGGAGTTACAGACACCTGTTAGGAGACACCTGAAACTAACATTGGATTCTAGTCTTCTCGAGAACCCGGTTCCTGAAAGCCAATCCCAGATCCTCTTCAAAGGCAGTAAGTAATTAACTAACAACTAAGCCATATCTCCAACCCAAAATTTACGTGTGATTATATTTTTATTACTGTTTTTTTCTGAGTATGAATATGTGTCTGTCTGTGTTAAATATACATGTTCTTACCTGTGGAATCCAGAAGAGGGTATCAGAACTCCTTGATCTGGAGTTGTAGGTAATTGTGAGCCACTAGGTTTGAGTGCTTGCAAAAGAAATTGTGTCCTCTGAAAGAGATTCACGTACTCTAAATTGTGGAGTCATTTCTTCAGTTCCTGGGTAAATGTTTAAATTAAAAACATTTTTCCTAAAGTCTCACACAATGCAAATTATATGCAAACCATTGTCAGACTGTACTCTGTAGGGAATCATGCTAAGCAAAAGGAGTTTGGACTTGTTCAGTGAGCTGTGTTTGTTGGGAGTATCACCCATCTGCAGTTAGCTGAATCCATAGTCGTGGAAACTGTATGTCTGAAATTCCAACTGTATGCATAAACCACACTCTAAATACACACAGCAAGAATACAAATGGAGTTATAAATGTCTACAGATGCAGGAGATCCTAGGAACCTTTGTCTGTAGCCCCACCAGGGAGCAGTAGTTATAGTGCAGTTGGTACTTTGAGTAGCTGCACCATGACCTGTTTCAAAAGGCCAGCACTGTGCTTCTGAAGGAAGAACAAAGGAGAGATGTGGAACAGGAATCCATTAATCAGAGGCTCTTCCATTTTTAGCTGGGTGATAGTTCTTAAGATGAAAATGTTATAATGTGCAACAGGGTAGGGACTCAAGATAGAGTAAAAAAGAAGCCAGTTGACAAGAAGACTGGAGAAACTTTCCCACCAAGACTACAAGTAAGAGACAGAGTATTCTGCAAAATAGACCTGAATCTACAAATAGGGAAGAGGTAAGCACTATGTAAATGACTCATTGAGGGTTAGGAATCTGATAGTTCAAGGTCTTTGAACTTCTAACCATTTCCAGCTCTCTGGCCAACATCTATCTTTGCAAATATTTTCTTAATGAATTGCCTCTATTTCTACCACGAGTGCCTGGCCCAATTCTTCATTTTAAATTGGAAGTATATGAAGGTCTCTACAGGTGCCCTCTTGACTCTAGTCCACACATATAAGGGCAAATCACAATAACTGAATAATTTTAATCTACAGAGGCTCTTCAATCAACTGCACAGTCCATGTAGTATATCAGGTGCACATCCTCATGATAGCAAGGCTGACTAGTACCATTGTTTACTGCAGGTGAACTACAGGACAGCATCCTCAGAGAGTATCATGGGGCAGCATGTTAAAAGTCCAGAAAAACATCAAACTTCAAAACTGGAAGTGCAGTCTTTATTTGATGTATATTATTTTTATATTCTTCTAAAACTGAAAGAACATTCTCGAGCCAAGCACAGCAATATCATGATTCTACCACACAGCTATGCTGTAGATGGAAACAGCTTCAAGAGTTAATAATGAAATGTCATACAAAAACTAGGAAGCCACGAGTTTTGAGTTTCTATTACTTCTGATTCAAGACAAAATTGAAACAGGACACAATGGTGTAAGTTTGTAACCCCATACCAGAACAGAATAATGAGTTTGAAACCAGCCTGAGAGAACAATGAAGATCCTGTCTCAAAGCAAACAGGAGATACGCTCTGTGATAGAACCCTTGCCTACCATGTGTAACCCTTGATTCAATTGTCAGTTGACAAATGAAATGAGCAAAACGTATAATGAAAATAAACAACTATAATAAAATTTAAATGAAGCTATAGTTTTACATATACTTAATGGTTTTTATAGTGGTGCTTTTCTTTCTCCTATTTGAGAATTTCCTTTATGCATATAATACAATTTGATCAAATTCACTACAATCCCTCCCCTTAAATGCCCCCACCACTCTTCCCGACTTCATATGCTTTTTTGCAAACACACTGAGTAGCAATACCGGTACCAGCATGAGTGTAGAGATGTTTTCTGGAGCATGGCAAAGTCAAACAGGATCTGCATCCTTGAAGAAAATTGACTCTTCCCACTTCTCCCCTCCAATGGCCACAATCAATGCTAGGATCTTGGCTAGTTAGGTATGAAGACAGGCCTACAGTGAGCAAAACCATTCCCTGAACAAGGGATGCTGGACTTTATAAAATGGAAAAGTGAGATGAAATGAATACTTTTTTATCTCTCTTTATTTGCTAACTGTGGATGTGGTGTGACCAGCTGCTTCAAGCTCCTTCTATCTTGACTTTTCCTCCATAATGGGTTATATTTTAAACTGTGAGCTAAAATAAACTCTTTATTAAAAAAAATCTGCAGCAGTAAGTTTCATGTCTATTTCATATAAAATTCTTTATTTTAGGCCCATCCCCACCTCAGTCAAGGCATGTTCTAATTTTTAGATTGTCACACTTATTTACTTCCCATTGCACTAGCTTCTTTATGAGGAACTTTTCTCTTGTGGTCCTGAGGATTCTTGTTTCCCATGAGCGGTCAGGTAAGCACAGGTTTCTTTTCAGAGATCACTTAAGATTTGTTTAGAGAATATACCCAGTCTCTAGAGAGAGGTAGTGAAGTAGCTAGAAACCACTGCATGGTGACAAACAGTAAGCATGTCAGAACCTGGATCCGGCTGTAGACAAAGCTTTAATCCTATTGTTTGACTTACCATATATAAAATCAAAGAAAACACAATTTCTCCCACTTGTAATTAAAATTATTCATACTGCTATTGTATTTTCTAAAAGTTTTCCTGACGCTATCTTCATGTGAGGACTCTAGTGTCTGTGGGTCCATAAAACCATTTTGTCAATAACATATTTCTGACTTAAGAGTTTAGGGAGTAAACTTAGAAATTTATACTTCTTAAAAGACATTCAATAGTATTGTCATGTGTCTGAACTTTAACATACCATAACAAAATCTGGATGCAAGGATTAAGATGTTATATGTTTTGGTAAAGTTTGACAGCATCAGTGCTAATGTATGATGTAGACCTTAGGTCTCCTTGTACTACCTACAAGATTACACACATTGAATAATACTTTACTAACCTAAATTATAGAAAATATAAAATCGTTGGCTATTCATTCAAGATATCCTCTTGCTTACCCAAGAGTTTGATTGTCTTTGGCTAACACTGAGCACCAGTGCACACTAACAAATGATCATTGAAATTAATGACCTCGTATTGTACTAGCTTCAGGACAGCTGTTCCAGAATCTTCTAACATGAACTTATTATACTTCTTGCTGCAAAGGTTGACGTGGCCTGTGCCATTGCACCATCTGCTCAGCTCTCACTCACCAGCATCTGCTATTCTTGCCTTGGCACCATCTGCCTGACCATCTCCATCCCCATCTGCACTGTTCAGTGGTACTGCCGAAATTACAACACATTTCACCTTCTCTTAAACAGAAGGATGCCTGAGTCCTGAGTCATTTCTCCTTTTAGACTTTAGGAGCCCTTTGTGAGATATCTATAAGGTTTACTTTAAGAATACCTTCATTCTCATGAGCACAAATTGTATACTATTTGTGACTTTTAAAAATTGGAAAAAGCTCTGTATGGTTGGCTATAGTAAGATACATAGAGTTTCAAATCACCACTATAAAATTACTTGGAATTCAGACAATGTGTTGCTTTAAAAATATTTTGCAATCAGGAAAAGTAGAACAAAGGCATGTGCTTGTCAGCAACATTAGATGTATAAACATGTCTGATGTAAGTTTGCCATATAATTGGTTAACAAACTAATAAGAAACATAATGTGAAAATTATTAAATGTAAAATACCTTTTTTATCCAAATTTGGTAATAGACAGATATATGAAGGGTTAAAATAGAAGACTTGCAGTCATTTGTTGAAAGTCTGTAAAGGTTTACCCTGCTACCTACATTCTTTAGTGACTTTTCTTTATATGCATGCACCAATGAATCCTGCCCTGCAGAAAAGAAGATCTGATGCAAGAAAAGGCTTTGAGTTCAGGAAAATGAAGCATGGGGCAATGAAAAATTGGCAAGGAAAAGGAAAAAGCCAGTGAGACTGAATTGTGTGACAATCTTTACACACTGGATTAGTATACTCAGTTTCTGCTTTTCACCCTCCTAGAAGACCACGCCAAAACTCGCTTCTTCACTGACATTTTTTCTGCAGTCACAAAGAGTGGAAATGCCCAATAATTTCCATTTGAAGTGTTTAGAATGTTAATAGAAAAAGAAATAATGCTTTTAGTACAGATCTAATATAAACTTGTCTCACATGGTTCCTGTAAATAAAAAATTGCAGGCTCACTAACTACACACTTTTATTGGAAGGATCATTGAAAGGCAGAAAAGGAGCCATAATAATCAGAAATAAAGATGAGAATGATGTCTGAGCTCAGTTACACCAAAGCGTAGGGCCACAGGGCTGCTGAAGGCTGGGGTGAAAAGTTGGAAAACATTAGGAAGTATCCAGAGAATGCTTGTCTTGTTAACTAGATTTATCCAAAACCAAATCAATCCTTCACATCTGTATAACAAAAGGCAATCAGAGCAAGAACCACAGAAACTAGAAGCAGAGTTGTTATTTTTTTAAAGTAGTCAGGAATAACACTGTGTAGAGAAAACCTTTTTTCATATAAGAATGTTACAGAGGGAAGGAGAAAAGAATAATCTTCCACATTGTTGGGACTGGAATAGGTCTACAGAGAGACTGTACTGGTAGGCCACAGCCTCATGACGAGACACAGATTAATAGAAATGGGTTGATTTAAGATGTAAGGGCTAGCTAGGAATATGCCTAAACTTTTGGTCAAACAGTGTTGTAATTAATATCATTTAATGTTATTATTTGGAACTCGGTGGCCAGGAAACTAAAGCTCAGTCTCCTTTTACAGATCACAGTTCCAGGCATGAAATTAAAGCTTTGAAATCTTCCTTTGGAAAGGAGAAAGACCTGGAGGATAGTGGTACCAACAATCTGAAAATGCCTTTTTAAAATGTGCTTGCCTGTGTTGAAGTTCTTTAACTAAAAACATTTAAAAGGCAAAATGAAACAAAATAATCAGTTTAATTAGAAATAAATTGGAAAAGGCCTATAGAATAAGGAATGTATTTTTTTCTTACAAGTTGTGAAATGTATTTGTGTTCTGATTGATCTATTACTTTAGAAAGTGTTAAAAATGCTCAAGAACCTTGAAATCATAAAGTAAAGCTATGATCATAAGTTAGGGTCAACTGATTTCTAAAGAAATAATTATAAATTTAGTGTCTTCCAAATTCCACTGCTTGTAAGCCTACATTAGATACAGTCATGGCGTGGGCCTTCCCTGTCACTGATTAGCTACAGTCATCCTGGGAAGATCCCTGTTCTGTGAACTCCATTCATAGTGCTCCTCTCTTATGGGTCTAATTGTTGTTTTCCCTCATTTACACAGCATATTTACTACCACTTTTCTATATTGAGTTAGGCAAATGCATTGTGTTACAGTTGCCTACTCTATTCAATACATTAGTGCACTGTTTTATAACACAGAATATAACACAGAGATGATGGAGTCCAGGGTGCGGGGGGGGGGGGGGTTGCAGGCTTCACCATCCTTATATAAGTGTCCTTTATCATGATCATACAGGAGAACCACTTAGTGATACATTTCTCAGGGGGTCTCTCCTTCACTAAATAATACATGACTGCATTCTGTTAATGAGATTATATGTGTTTATTCTCTTTCTCTTTCTTTCCCACCCTCTCTCTGTCTCTTTCTGTCTGTCTCTGTCTCTCTCACTGTGTGTGTGTGTGTGTGTGTGTGTGTGTGTGTGTGTGTGTGTGTGTTGGCGTGGCATGTGTTGAGAAATCAGAGGACATCTGACAGGAGTCAATCCTCTCTCTTTCCACCACATGTGTTCCTAGAATCTGACTGATCCCTCAGGCTTGTTAGCACACACTTTTACCCACTGAGCCATCTAGCGAGCCATAATGTAATTGCAGCTAACACATTGAGCAGCATTTAACTGAGTTACTGTTGCTAATATTCCAGACTATTTGAATCTGGTTTTTTTTCTTTTCTTTTTTTTTTGTTTGTTTTTTGAGACAGGGTTTCTCTGTGGCTTTGGAGCCTGTCCTGGAACTAGCTCTTCTAGACCAGGCTGGTCTCGAACTCACTGAGATCCGCCTGCCTCTGCCTCCCGAGTGCTGGGATTAAAGGCATGCGCCACCAAAAAAAATCTTTTTAAAAAAATCTTCTCAAACTTGGAAAAAAAATTTTATGGATCCATTCTCTATTCCTAGTGACCTACTTATAAATCAGTTAGACACATCCCCACCACTAAAAATATGTGAAAGAAATATTATTTTATTTAATTATTTTCTGTCTTTTTAAAAAATCATGTGAAGCCCTAGGGGATAATAGACACTAAATTATCTAAAATAAAGGGCCTGTATTATTATTTATCTACTTAAAGTTTCTGAGATTTGAAGTTAGCTGTCAGAACCATAATATTGCTGTGTGTAATATTTCAGTAATTGTAACTACTGTCATCAGAAAGTATTGGGGGAATTCCTTCTAAATTCAGAAGGAATGCAAACAGGCTATGGGCTAAAAGGGCATGATAACATTCTGGATTTTTTTTTTAAATGTACAATTCCTCATCATATATGTCTTTCACTTGCTTCGTTAAAGTTACCACAAGATACTTTATATTATTTGTGAGTTTCACAAATGGTATTGTTCCCTTGATTTCTTTCTCAGCCCATTTATCATTTGTATATAGGAGGGCTACTGATCTTTTTAGTTAATGTTGTACCCAGCCAGTTTGTGGAAGGTGTTTATCAGTTGTAGGAGTTCACTGGTAGAATTTTTGTGGTCACTTTTGTATATCATCTGCAAATAGTGAAAGTTTGATTTCTTCCTTTCCAATTTGTATACCTTGACCTCCTTTTCTTGTCTTATTATTCTACTTAGAACCCCGAGTACTATATTGATTAGATATGGAGGGAGTGGACAGCTTTGTCTTGTTCCTGATTTTAGTATAATCGCTTTGACTTTCTCTCCATTTAGTTTGATGTTGGCTGTCGACTTGTTGTATATTGTCTTTATCATGTTTAGGTATATTTCCTGCTTTCTCCAAGACCTTTATCATGAAGGGGTGTTATATTTTGTCAAAAACTTTTTCAACATATAATGAGATGATCATTTGTTTGTTTTTCCTTTTGATTAGTTAATACGGTGGATTACATTGACAGATTTTCAATGTTGAACTCTCCCTGCATCTCTGGGATAAAGACTACTTGATCATGATGGATGATTTTTTTTTGATATGTTCGTGGATTTAGTTTGCCAGTATTTATGTTTTGGATAGTTCTTGGAATTTTACACAGTACTTTTCACATGCTAAGGAGGAACTTTAAAGGCAAGCTACAGCTCCCAGTCTTAGAAATTTCTATAACTCTGATGCCCTGGCTAATCTCTAACAACTAGGTTGAAACATCTTTCTGCTTTAGCTTTCTATTTGGAAG